TCCCCCCCGGCTCAGACCTTGGAGTTGCGTATGATGTGGGCCTTGACCAGGTGGGCCAGCTGCCCCTGGTGGTCGGCGTTGGCCAGCCAGGCGCTCCTGGCGGGCGGGAGGCCGTCCAGGGCCTCGTCCGTGGGCATGAAGATGGTGAACGGCTTATGGATGGACATCTGCAGCACGGGCAGCATCCCGGAGAGCTGGAAAAGGCACAGAACGAACTCCTGAACACTTTATACCAGTGTTTTACAACCTTTTTGGAGCCAAGGTACATTTTTTCATAGAAAAAATCTCGAGGCACACCACCAACCAAAAATGTCAAACAAATCTGTAGCCGCCTATAGTAACACTATAGTTATTCTTATTTTATCCTAAGCGTCTTGAATAGGAATAAAAAAAAATGTATTTTTATCTTATATTATATTTCTTCTTTCAAATTGCTCTTAAAATGTCCACTTCAATATGCAAAATTATATACAAAATCTAGTCATAAGGAATTATTACATGATTACTCCACCAGTCACTAGAACAGCACAGACACTCAAAAATGGCATATTATTTGCAGAAAATTAATTCCTTATCAAACAATATTTTTAGACCAATTAGGTGAAATAGGATGATTTTCTACGGCACACCTGATGATAACTCGCGGCACACTAGAGTACCGAGGCACAGTGGTTGAAAAACACCTGCCTTATACGAACAAAACAAACTCCCACTTTCACGAATCTAACCCAAAAATAACTAAAAGTTGATTTTATAATTCAATGAGAAGCCAATCAGACCTTCATTTAGTCTCATAATGTCTCCACCCAGGAACAGAGAGGAGGGATTTTTTTTATTACTCTTTTTTATTATTTTTTATTTTTATTATTCATTATTTATCATAATTAAACAATATATGAAATATAACAATACAGCAGAACCTCTTCTTACGATGCTTAAACATACGAATATTCCCACATCCAAAGGGAAATTCGATTAAATATTTGACTCGACACCCAAGATTTTTTTTTAAATCAGAAAAATATATAAAAAATATTTTAAAATAATTAAGCTAATTTAGCTTAAAGTTTACGTGGTGATAGGTACATTTAAAACCAAAGAAAAATACTTAAAATATATATATATATAAAATGTAAAAATGAAATAACAAAAAAGCTAAGTTCAGGGAGTGAAAGTCAGAATAAGTTAGGGTACATCCTGTATGTCAGTCTCTACCTGCCAATAAAACCCTTTTTATTGATTATTTCTTTATAATTTATTTATTTTTACATCTCTCTTATATAATGCATTTGTTTTACTGCTATGTGTGATTATCTGCAGTATTTATTAAGGAGTTTTTGTAGGTTTTTGGAACAAGTTATAGGAATTACAGTGTATTCTGATGGGAATATTTGAACCAACATACCAATATTGTAACATAGGAAGTTGGCCCTGGAACAAATTTAATTCCCACATAGAGGTTCTGCTGTATTTAGAATTATAACTATTAACTTAATGTACAGATGAATTGATACTGATTCAGTCTCAGAGCTTTGGAAGATGAATCCATAAATATATTAGAGCTCCTGAGATGTTTTTAACCAGCCAGTTATCCTTAATCGTCCTAATCTGGTGTGGATATGCAGCCAGGTGGATCTTTCTCCGTTACTGTGAAACAAATGTAAATATATTTCTACTTTGACTTAAAATATAGTTTCATTAGGATATTAGGGACACGTTGAGAGATTTTCTGGTGGAAATGACAAGAGTAAGGCTATGAGGACCTCAGAATAAAGCTTTAATGGTGTGAGAATACAGCCGGAAAGTTATGAGAAAAAAGTTGTAAATGTATGAGGAAAAATATAAAGTTCGGAGAAAAAGTCGTACAGTTACGAGAAAAACATAGCTATAAAAAAACATTGTAAAATTACAAGAAAAAGTTGTAAATTTACGAGGGAAAACAGTAAAGTTATGAGAAAAAAATAGTTTAAAGAAAAAAGTTGTTAATGCACAAGATTTTTTTACGTAACAAGAAAAAAGTTGAAAAGTCCCGAAAAGAAAAAGTTGTAAAGTTATGAGAAAAAAGCTGTAAAGTTACTAGAAAAATGTTACGAGAAGAAAAAGTCGTAAAGTTACGAGAAAAAATATTTTAAGAAAAAAAAAAAGTTTTCAATATGTGAGAAAAAAGTCGTAAAGTTCAAAGAAAAAATGTAACCGTCTGAATTAAGTTTTTTCTTTACCTCAATCAGTTTGTAGAACTTGGTATAGCCGTAAACGATCTGGTCCTGGGACTGGGTCTGGTTCTGGTTCTGGTTCTGTTCTGGGTCTGGTCCTGGTCCTGGTCCTGGTCCTGGTCCTGGTCTTGGTCTTGGTCCTGGTCCTTGCCCTGGCCCAGGCCCTGGTCCTGGTCCTGGTCCTGGTCCTGGCCCTGGCCCTGGCCCTGGCCCTGGCCCTAACCCTGGCCCTAACCCTGGTCTTGGTCCTGGCCCTGGTCTTTTCCCTGGTCCTGGTCCTGGTCCTGGCCCTGGCCCTGGCCCTGGCCCTAACCCTGGCCCTGGTCCTGGCCCTAACCCTGGTCCTGGTCCTGGTCCTGGTCCTGGCCCTGGCCCTGGCCCTGGCCCTAACCCTGGCCCTGGTCCTGGCCCTAACCCTGGCCCTGGCCCTGGCCCTGGGTTAGGGCTAGGGTTAGGGTTAGGGCTAGGGTCCCTACCCCCTTGGGCTCCAGCGGGGGCCGGTCCTGCAGCCGATAGGGCGTCAGCAGCCGGTCCACATGGTGGATGACCCCGTTACTGGTGGTCAAATCACTCCGGACGATCCGGGAACTGTTGTTGATCCACACGGAGCCCTGAGGGGAACAGAATCCATCATCCATTCATCCATTCATCCATTCATCCATTCATCCATTCATCCGTCCATCCATCATCCATTCATCCGTCATCCATTCATCCATCATCCATTCATCCGTCATCCATTCATTAGTCATCATCCATCCATCCATCATCCATTCATCCATCATCCATCCATCCATCCATCCATCTTCCATTCATCCATCATCCATTCATCCATTCATCCATCATTCATTCATCCATCATTACCCATCATCCATTCATCCATCATCCATCCATCCATCCACCCATCCATCCATCCATCCATCCATCCATCCATCCATCCATCCATCCATCCATCCATTAATTCATCCATCCATCATCCATTCATCCATCATTCATTCATTCATCCATTCATCCATTCATCCATTCATCATCAATCCATCATCCATTCATCCATCCATTAATTCATTAATTCATTCATCCATCCATGTATCATTCATTCATTCATTCATTCATTCATTCATTCATTCATTCATTCAT